CCGGGTGCCCGAAGCCCTCGCGCGAGGCCCTGTGCGCCCGGAGCCGCGAGCCCGCGCGCGGGCCCCAGGCTGCCGGCGCAGCGCGCCGCGGCGGTGCCTCAGAGGAGGAAAGAAGGTACAGTTGTACCGCGGCACCTCCTCCTCCCCCTCCTCCTCCTCCTCCTCTTTTGTCCTCCTCCTCCTCCTCTCCTCTCCTCCTCCTTTTCAGCTCCTCCTCCTCCTTCTCCCTCCTCCTCCTCCTCCTCCTCCCAGTCAGCCCTTCACGCGCCGCACGCCCGGCCGCCAACCGCCGCTCCGCCGCCTCCGCCTCCGCGCCCCCCCCGGCGGCGGTGCCTCAGAGGTGTAAGATCGAGGTCGGTTCGGGGTAGTTGGATGTTCTCGTGCATCCTTGGGAAGGCACCCTTGGATGATATGTGTGTTTTGTCCGGCAGATGGTTGTTTCATCTTCTTGGCAGGTGTTCGACTGGCCCAGGTCCGACTGTACAGATGCTGCTGCCCCTCCCTCGGTCTCCCTTTTTTGGGGCCTCCCGGGAGGTCTTCGTCGCCACCGCTGGATTCGCCTCGAAGTCCTGGTCCGAGCGCACCCCGGGAGGGGTCTGGGGAGGAGCAGTATCGGTGCCTTTTGGTTTCCCCCAGGTGCCGGTGCCCTCGCCGCGCGCCGCCGCGCCGCGGCTCGCCGCCGCGCGGCATGGAGGCGGCGGGGCCGCTCCTTCTTTTGCGGCCCAGGTGCGGTCCAGATGCCCAGTATCGTTTGACCGACCCCCCTCCCCATCCCCATCCATATCCAGACTCCCGCCATCTTCGGATGCAACTCCTGGGAGGTCTAATTCTGCTTTAGCCCTGGTCCGAGATCCCGCTTAATCCGGCTTAATCCGGCTTAATCCCGCTTAATCCCGCTTGATCCGAGGCCCACTCTGGCGTAATAGCCCCCCAATGGGGCTTGATCCTCCTTACTCCTTCCGACGAAAACCTCCCAGTAGTTGCCTTGCCTCCTAACACCATCTCAGCACACCAGTTGGGGATATGCCCCTCGAGACCCGACGGACACTGCCTGCATCCTCTATCCAGGGTCGGCAAACCGTCCAGTGGGGCCGAGGCCGCGCCCGTGGGGATGGGGGTCGGATAAACGATGCTCAGATGCCCGAGCAGGTGCGGGGGCGGAGGGTGGCGCCGCAGCTTACCAGCCTGGAGCTCAAGCAGTGGCGAGGCGTCCTTGCTTGCCTGTAGTAGGCCCACCAGAGAAGGTTCTGAGGGCCTTTTGTGGTCCGCACGAAAGGTTCTCAGAGCATTTCTGGCCGAGGTTGTCATGTTTTCACACATCGGGTTTATGCCCTGTTCTAAGAGCATTGTTTTTGCTGTTCGAGCGTTCTTTGAGTTCCTGAGAACATGTCGTGGTGGGCCTATAGGAGTGCCGGGACGGTCGGTCCCTGCTCAAGAAACACGTCCCTGCCCCTAGGATTGGCAGCCCCTCATCTCCTGACTCACCGCCACAGGGGTGGCGCTGCTCTCTAGAAACATTCATACAGTCGGGGCGCTGAAGAAGGAACCCTTTTCGTTGGGGAGGGGCTCCGTGTTCCTTAATTGTTTCACAGCTTGCCTCAGGGTTTCCTTATGTTTTCGATGGGAAATCGAAGTTTAACTTATGGAAAAAAGGGGCCTCGTTCCTTATTTAGGGTTCCTTAGGTCAACGCCCCGACGGTACGCCCACGCAGTCGCAGTTTGGCATTTCTGCGTCACCGACGTCGTTCGCAGTGACAGGGTACCACGGTGGCCCCCAAGAAGCTTGCAGTAGAGCCCAACAGACACTCAAAGACCGCCAGAAGCCCCCCAACGCGCGCCGTCTTGAGGATTCCCCCAGTTTCTGAAGGCGCATGCCTCAGATTGTAGTCGCCCTGGACTTGCCAATCCTAGGGACAGGGACAAAAGCTCGAGCTTGGTCAGCATCGCCGCTGCATCGGCGGTGCGACTCGACCCGCAGCCCAGCATGTGGCATCCCCACGTCGCCGAGGAGTCGCCGACGTCTCGGCTCTGTGGCGTTGCTCTCCGACCCCCACCTGCCTGGGGCCCACTGTGGGCGGCCTCCCCGAAGTGGCCAATAGGAGGAGGAGGAGGAGGAGGAGGAGGAGGAGGAGGAGGAGGAGGAGGAGGAGGAGGAGGAGCCAAGGATCGAGGAGGAGGAGGAGGAGGAGGAGGAGGAGGAGGAGGAGGAGGAGGAGGCCTCCCCGAAGTGGCCACGAGGAGGAGGAGGAGGCGGAGGAGCCGAGGATCGATTTGGGCTCGAGCAGGGGTTTTCTTCGCCCGTGCGCCCGGGTGCGCTCGAGGCCAAGCCGGGGGCCTCGTTCCTCGTGTGTGGAGTGCCATCTGGTGGCACCTCTGCGACTGTAGAGCGGGTGCGTGCAGCGGCAGGCTGTACAGCGCCGGTTTCAATACATGCTCCGCGTGCGGATCATGTGTTAAAAATGCAGGGTTTAGTATTAACAACAACGACGAGTTCATGCATGAATGTATTCATACATTAGTCATGTATGAAAACATCCAATCGTTTTGAACATCCTATGTGTTCAAAACTGCCCTGTAGAGCGGGGACGTGCACCAGCAGGCTGCAGCATGCTCGTCAGGACACCTCGGGCCTCTGCGCGCCACCGCGCTGCGCGGTGCCTCCCCGCGGGCGCCGAGAGAGGTGCTGCGATCTGGGTGCTTTGGCGGGGCTTTCCTCCGGCTGCGCTCTGCGCTCGGTTTTTTTTGTCCGAGCGCCGGGCTTCCCATCAGGGTTTCTTGCGGCCGCGTCCCGCACACTGTATGGGGACAGGAAGCCCCGAGCCTGATCCAGAAGGAGGGCCCTCAGTCCCAGGTTTTGCCATGAGGTTTCCCGTCGGGGAAGGAACCCAACCAGGCCTAGATCGTCCCCCTCCTTGGCATCGCTCGGGCCTGTGTATTTTTCTCGGCGGGGACCATGGAGGAACATGTTGGGCCATTTTGCGAAACACACGCGCACGAAACCGAACTACGCACGGGAAATGGCGTCCAAGCGATGGCAAGCTTAAGTCTGGTTTGGATCTCCCTGCTCCTCGCTCCGCTCTGCAGACGGCTTCAAAGGGGGCCCGCTTTCGAATGTCAGACACCGCGGAGAGCGTCATGGTGGCCCCGGTTGGTTCTGTCTCGGGCCCCTGCGGGCCCTCGCGGGCCGATCTAAGGGCCCAGCAGCTCAGTGTGTCCGAGAGCTCTGGCTTTTCTCGTTTGTCTGCGTGACGCCGTGATCTGTCACGAAGCTGGGTGTTGAGGTGAGGCGGAAGGGGGTAGCCCCTTGTTTCCCTCGTCGTTCTTTTCTGGCCTTTCGAGAAGGGGTACTGAAGCTGGAGATTGTGGGCACCCGACCCTCTCTGCCTTGGCTCCCTTTAGAACCTTCCAGTCCCTGCAACTGCGCTTCCTCCTGGAGGAGGGGGAGGAGGAGAGGGGGAGTAGGAGGGAGGGGGAGAGGAAGGAGGAAAAGCAGGAGGTGGTGGAGGAGGAGGAGGAGGAGGCCCCCTCCCACTCTCATGTCTTCTCTGCTTCCGCTAGCCCCATTCGCCACGTCGCTACTCTCTCCCCAACTCCCCCTTGCCTCTCCCTCCTTCCTCCTTCCCTCCCTCCCACACTCTGACAAGAAGCTCGGCTCTGGACTGATGGTCACTTCAGCGGTAGACTGTCTGATCGTCTGGTGGATGTGCTTACGGAGAGGCGGAACTTCCTCTTGGAGGAGGAGGAGGAGGAGGGTGAAAGAGACGGAATATGGGTCGGTGGTTGCAATGCAATCAATCACAAGGGAGCCATGGGAGATCGTTCCTTCTCCTCCTCCCCTTCTCTCCGTTTTGCTCCTCCTCCTCCTCCTCCTCCTCCTCCTCCTCCTCCTCCTCCTCCTCCCCCTCCTCCGCCCCCTCCTCCTCCTCCTCCCCCTCCTCCCCCTCCGTCCTTCTCATCCATCCTCCAGCCTCCAGCTGGGTTTGGGAGAGTGTTCCAGGCCCTCCCAGGGAGCCTCCCAGCCGTTCCCCGCCAGAGCCCGCCGACACTTCGGCCCAGACCCCAAGGTCGAGCACGTCGCGGTTTGCCCAGCCGCTGGCCATGCGCTGCCATGGGAGCGTCCCGGTCGGCGGCCCTGGATGGCTGGCTCTCATGCTGCAGCCAGCCGACAGGGCGTCTCAGCGAGTGTGAAGCCGGGCGCCGCTCGGTCTCGAGCGTGGAGCCGTCGAGCGTGGAGCCGGGGGCGGGGCTTCTAACGGCTCGATCGGCTCGATGGCGTGCGCCGATGTCTGCCCGCGGCATCGGTCGTCGAGGCAGATCATGGGCCCCCGCGCCCTCCCTCGGGCCAGCTCCCCTGCCTCTCGCACGGCGGGTGCGGGTTGGGGGGAGGGGGGGTGAGGGCGATCCGAGTGACTCGATAATGATTTGAGTGATCGTCATCGTTGACGTCAGCGTCGTCGTCGTCGTCGTCGATGCGACGGATGTGCGGCAGAAGGTATTTTTTGGACAACCGTGGAGAAGGACGACAGATGCAGCTCGGAATGGCTCACGCTGGGGCGCTTCCTCAGGAGCAGGCCCTTCCTCGACAAGCAGACGCACGTGCTGAATCAGTACGTCAAGGCGGCCAGAGCGCTGATCGCAGCAGGCGACCAGCCCGGCGCCGAGAACGTGCTCTTCACCCTCGACATGGAGATCAAGTCAGAGGAGCACACGATCGCCGCGGCGTTCCAGAAGTTTGATCACAGCGGGGACGGCGTTCTGCAGGGAGACGAGATCACGTTCATGCTGGACTACTTGGGCTTTCCAAGCGCCGAGAAGGATGTCAAGGCCCTGCTCAGTGTGGTGGACACCGACAACGACAAGTCTGTGTCGTACGACGAGTTCATCGTCTACGTTGGCTCCCTCGGCGGCAGCTATCAACTTTTTGAGCTGCGCAAGGCCCAGATAGGGGCCAGGGACAAGGGCACTGCCAAGCGCAAGGTCGACGACGTCACACTGCAGGTGGGGCTGGCCGCGATCGGCATCTCGGACCACAACCTGGCCTACTGGCGGCTCACGGCCAACCCCTCGGAGCTCGCGGAGGCGGCGGAGCTGAAGGCGAGCCAGCGGCAGGCGGTGAAGCACATCCGGAACCTGGCGCGCGAGAGCCACACGCAGGCCCTCCCCAGGCCTCTGGTCGGCCCCAAACCGGGGGTCCAGCTGGAAGGGGGTGGTGCAATAGACTGTGGGCAATCGCATTGCAAGTGTATCGCGCTCGAGAATTCCATTGCATTGTACTGCAGCGAAGGCATTGCACGGGAACAAATCATCCAGCAACACATTTGAGCCCCGGAGTGTATTGCACGCCCCAAATGTATTGCAACCCCACAAACCTACTGCACCAAATCTATTGCACCACCCCCTTGTCTCTGGACACCAGAGGCGACAAAAGGGGCGAATAGCCCAGGGAAGAACAATACATGTATTCAGGTGCGCCGATGATCCATGTCTTCGACAAGGCTTCGGGGCGAGTACGTGCAATGCCCGCCCCTGGGCTATTCGCCCCTATCGTCGCCGCCGAGGACACCCTTCTGGGCCATCCCGAAGGCTGCGGGACCGGGTGCTCCGCCTGGGCTTCGCGGAGGTCGATCTCCACATGGCCCTGGCCTGGGTCCGCGAGCTGGCTCCCGTGATCGTCCACGTCTGACGGGCCTGTGCTCCACCACCGCTGCCACAGGCAGGAGAAGGAGGAGGAGAAGGAGGAGGAGAAGGAGGAGGAGGCGGAGGAGGAGGAGGCGGAGGAGGAGAAGAGGAGGAGGAGGAGGGGAGCAGGAGGAGGAGGACCTCCTCCTCCTCCCTTCTCTTCCGTCCTACATCTGGCAGTGGTGGTTGAATATTTGCCCGTCAACGTCAACCTGGAGAAGCTCGGCGAGCGCTTCCGGAAGGACTCGCACTACCGGAACCAGTTCGAGACGGGCAGCTCCGCCGGCCTGCTGAGGCTGGAGGCGCGCGTCAAGTGGGAGGCGGGCCTCTTCGGCACGGCCTACGGCGAGCTGACCCCGGGCTGCGAGCGCCCAAAGTATGGCGTACAGAACATCTGGAACGACTACCGCGGCGTCGTCGGCTGCAGGCAGTACGGCGACAGCTACCTCGTCCTCAGGGGCGTGCGGCTGAGGTGCACCATGTCGCCCGAGGACTCCGCCAACCTGCCCGCCAAGCGGCTCGCCGTCCCAGATTACTACGCGCACGTGCTGATGGAGTACAGCGACAAAGAGCTGAAGGAGGCGGTGCGCGTAGCCCAGGGCGGTGACGAGAAGGTCGGCGATTCCGGTTCCGTCATCGAGAGGTGGGGGAAGTACAAGGAAGTTCAGATCCACGGGGATATAAGTTTCAAGACGCACGTAGAGCGTCTTGTAGTCCCAGACAGGCTGAAAGACAAGAAGTCATGGGTCGGGAAAGTTGCGAAGGCGCACGGCTGGAAGGTGACCTGGATGAGTGATATGGAGAAGGAGCTCAGGACAAGGTCTACAGGGCGCGTAATGGACCAGGAAACCTGGCAGGACAAGCTGGATTGCATCAGGAGGGATCAGGAGCAGACCTTGCAGGCGACAAAATTCGTCACCGCGAGGGAAACGGCGGTGAAGTGGATGTACGAGATTGATGACGGTTGGCAGCTTTTTGACGGGACTTTGCAGGGTCCCTTGGAGTCTCTGTTCCAGGAGTACATGGCTTCCCCGTCGGCGACGGGAAACTGGGAGCTGAGCGCCTAGGAATGGGCTCCTCGTGCTATACTTCGCAGAGATGACGCAGCAGGTGCAGGGCACCACAAGACGGCGAAAACTCCAGAGAGTTGAGCTGTGATCCGCCGCCAGTGAAGGCGCACTACGTTACGCGTGCCGCTGCCCCTCAGTCTCTCCGGTAGCTGTCTCACCTCGGCGCAAAAAACGCGGGCGGCACCCGGCGCCCAGCCTGCCTGCTGGCGGTCCGGGCGCGCCATATTGCAGACGCCTCGGGCGGGGCTGGCACGAGGATGAGATCCGTCCCAGAGCGGTCCGCAACGCTCTCAGAGCGCTCCATAGCGCTCGGAGACGGCGCCCGAGACATCCTCCAGAGCCGCCGGATCTCGGAGATGCTCGATCTATCCTCGCCCGATCTTATCCTCTTCCTGGCTGCGTCGTAGCGTCTCGCTCGCCACTCGCTCCGCTTCGGGGGCTGCCAGAGGGGCGCCTGGTCCAAGGTGTACCCGGCCCTTTGCTCAACTCTTGGGCCCTCTGGGACCCTCTGGGCCGCGCGAGGGGTGCTCTGGCCCTCTGGGGCCTCTGGGTCCTCCTGGGGCCCTCTGGAGGGGTGTCCTCTGGGACCCTCTGGAGGGGTGCTCCTTGGAAATCCTTGGAAATCCTGGGGGTCCCTCCTTGGAAATCCTTGGAAATCCTGGGAAATCCTTGGAAATCCTTGTAAATCTGGGAGGCCGTGGGGGCCTCCTTGGACATCCTGGGGGCACATCGGGCCAGGGGCCCTTCGGCAGCACCTGGCCGCTGGTGGCCGCGTCTGCCCCGCCTCCGGCGCGGGGTGCCTCCAGGCTGTCCCAGAGCCTGCCCTCCTCCTCCTCCTCCTCCTCCTCCTCCTCCTCCTGTTCGTCAACCTCCTCCTCCTCCTTGTCCTCCTCCTCCTCCTCCTTGTCCTCCTCCTCCTCCTCCTCCTCCTCCTCCTCCTCGTCCTTCGCCTCCTCCTCCTCCTCCTCCTCGTCCACGTCCACCACCACCACTTCCTCCTCCTCCTCCTCCTCCTCCTCCTCCTCCTCCTCTCGTCAACCTCCTCTTCCTCCTTGTACTCTCCTTCTTCTCCTCGTCCACTTCCTCTCCTCCTCCTCCTCCTCCTTCCTTCCTCCTCCTCCTCCTCCTCCTCCTCCTCCTCTTCTCCTCGTCCTCGCTCCTCCTCCTCCTCCTCGTCCACGTCCACCACCACCACTCCTCCTCCTCCTCCTCCTCCTCCTTCCTCCTCCTCGTCAACCTCCTCTTCCTCCTTGTCCTCCTCCTCCTCCTCCTTCTCCTCCTCGTCCACTTCCTCCTCCTCCTCCCCTCCCCTCCTCCTCCTCCTCCTCCTCCCCTTCCTCCTCCTCCTCCTCCTCACCTCCTCCTCCTCCTCCTCCTCTTCCTCGTTCTCCTCCTCCTCCTTCTCCTCCTCCTCCTCCTCCTCCTCCTCGTCCTTCGCCTCCTCCTCCTCCTCATCGTCCACGTCCACCCACCACCACTTCCTCCTCCTCCTCCTCCTCCTCCTCCTCGTCGTCCTCCTCCTCGTCAACCTCCTCTTCCTCCTTGTGCTCCTCCTCCTTCTTCTCCTCCTCGTCCACTTCCTCCTCCTCCTCCTCCCTCCTCCTCTCCTTCCTCGTTCTCCTGCTCCTCCTCCTCCTCCTCCTCCTCCTCTCCTCCTCCTCCTCCTCCTCCTCCTCCTCCTCCTCTGGTCTTCCCCAAGGCTTCCCATAGCCTCTCAGAACCGCGAGGAGCCCCCCCCCCCCCTGGAAGCCCCCTTCCAGAGGCCCCAGACCTTCCCAGGCCCTCTAAGCCCCATCCAAGAGTCTCAGACCCAGGCCTGGTCAGAGCCTCCCCAAACCTCCCCCCGTAGCCTCCAAGACCATCCCAGAGCCCCGTGGCCTCCCAGGCAGAGCCATCATCAGTTTTTCGGGCGTGGGGCGATGAGAATCTGGGGCGACGGTGGACGGGGCGCCCCGATCAGTGCTTCCATTCTTCTTCTTCTGTCTTCTTCTGGTCGTCCTCGTCTTCTTCTGTCTTCGCTGGCCACTCCTCCAATATGTTCCTTGTCGTCTTGCACGTGAGCTTTCATGAGACGGCTCAGAACATGTGCCCAACGCAGGGCAGTCCATCGTAGATCGCTGCTGGCGGGCGCTGTGCAGCTGCCGCCGAGCGCACAACTGGCGGCGAGCCGCAACCACACGTCACGTCGTGCTGGATGCCTGCACCAGTCTTTCCGCCCTGTATGCCGAGCAGGCACAGGTGCTCTGCTTGCTGCACGCGGTAACCTGTTTGTGCCCACTGCGGGCAATGTGTGTCTCGGAGGGCTTGTCGCGCATTCGCGCCAGCGGAAAGTCGGCTTTCATCGCAGCGCGCGGGGTGTTTTTCTTGTCCACGCGGCCCTGCTCCCGACGGTGGCAGGACGTGGCTCTCTCATCAAGTGCGCCGAGAAAGTGGAAACAGCTCCCCGTGGGGCCACGGGTGGGGGGAAGGGGCGGTGTGCGGCACCTTGCCACCGAGG